CCAAAAGCTCATCATCATCGAACATAGCGGAGCTATTCGTGAATCCGTTTGTACCGTTTCCAGAGTTCGAGTTGAAGTTGTTGAATGAAGGAGAATAACCACCTGACATAGCAAGATCGTTGGGGTCGATACTTGCACCGCTGTGGCCGTTGCCAAATTGGTTGAAGCCGTGTTGAGCCATTGTATCGTGGTTGAAGAGTCGGATGTTGTTGCCCTAGCAAGAGGGGTGATGTGGGCGGAATATTGTGGGCGTTCACCAGTTCGGCTAAGGCTGATGGTACGTTTGAGTTACGAAGATCAAGCTTGAACTGACCTGTTAAGGGCTCGAGTCAGCAAAGTCAGGACGGAGCTGAATGCAAAGCGGGGGAAATGTCAAGTCAAGAAGACCGGCTCGGCGATGGGAAGCGGGCATCCATATATGGGGTGCCCACCGCCGCGGAGGTTACAGCAAGGAGGGAAGTGGCGGGCGGATGGCCGGGGGTTGAGGTTTGGATTCCTTTGACTCACCAGACAGAGAGTGTTGTAGCTGGATTTGGAATTTGGGGAGTACAGAGTGCACGCTATCTGCAGCCCATAAATGAAGAGCGAGTCTCAGGTAAGTGATGATTCAAGCGCCGCAGCGAAGAGTATCCCGGATGGAGTTGAAGCCAGATAAGGTATTGTGGGAAAGATGAATGTCGTGAGTCGGAGGGTCGGAGGGAGACGATCGGGGTTGGAGGGTTGAAATGGTGGGCACTGAGTGTAGGACCTCCAGGCGTCGGTTCACTATGGTAAGGGCCAGGTACCTACAAGGGGTTAAAGCGCTGGGGGCGCTCCCTGGGGGCGCAGGTACTCCGAAAGCCAAAAGGGCAGAGAGTGGGCTTGGTCGCTTTGGCTGGAGTACTTTGTAGCACACGGGCGAAAAGGTCCAGTCTATCGTCTGGCACGTACCGTGCTAGCCCCAGTCCAGCGTTATTAGCAGTAGTAGTCTGGAGACGCTTTCCTGTGGGATGGTCGGCGCGGGGGACACGGCGGTCGGGGAAGCAGTTGAGGGGTTCTTTGTCTGAGTCTGAGTCGTAAATGAAGCTGCAGACTTGGAAGGGATAAGAATAAGCCTAGTTGGGCTAGGCGGTGAAGAGTGTTTATTCAGATTCAGGGTTTGAGTGGCTGTTCTTGGAATGGTGAGATAACCAGTCAGCAATGTAGTTCTGGAATACGGTTGTCTGAGTCGCAGCTAGAGGAAGAAGGATGATGGAGGTCTTGGTTTTGGGCGATGAGAGCGCGAAATGTAATGTGTGTGTGGCACCCGAATCAGAAGAAGGGGGCGGGGGCACGGCTTCGGTATGTCACTTGTACCTCGTAGCCGATCGGCGCACCTCAGTCGAAACGGGATATAGGGAGGGAAACAAGATATTCAGCAGGTAAATGAAAGAAACGGGCAAGACCGTGGGTACATAGTAATAGCTATGGAAACGGCAAATAAGAGGAACTTATCAAGTTGAAAAGCTGAGCAAACGTCTTGTATAACAAAGAGACAAAGATTGTCGGGGAGGGGGGCTACCTTAGTAGCTTGGTAGGTAGGATGTAGATATGATGCGTCGTCCTTCCACGAAAGTCCAAGCGGTTGGTAGGGGTTGGTCTGGGCAGAACAACGGGACCAGAGCATACGTACAGCATGCCAGGCAACCGGACTGAAAAGAAGAATGAATTATTCTACTCACCAAGTATAGTTGAGGCACACAAATGCGCAGAAGGCATGGGAGTAGCCGTGTTATTGAGCTTGCACAGTCGATTTATATGGATGCGATGCGGTACGATAGCCGAGGCGGATAATGCGGCTTGGAGTAGGCGATACAATAATATCTTGAGAGGTAATGCTATGGTAAGTCGAGTCGAGCGGACGAAGCAGGATAAAGTACCCGAATTGTATTCGATGTGTTGCTGGTGTTGCTTGAGCTGTGGTTGAGGAGGTTGTCCAAATCGGGAAATGGAAAGATGTGGATGTGAGTAGCAGCGGGGCGTCGAGATGCAGGGTTCAGGTCCGTAATGTACGGTGATGTGATAGATGTTAAAACCCGCCCTCGGGATGATGTGAGGCCGTGCTGAAGCTCAAGTTTGAGGACAAGGAGCAAGACTCGCAGCCGCAACTCTCGCGATTGAAGTACTGAAGGTTTAAAAAAAGGCTTTGCTGCTTGTCTTGGGATGCGCTCCAATTTATTCAAACGCACAGACAAGGTTAGCGAGGCTTCGAGATATGTGAAGTGTGAGATGCTAAAGTTGGCGGATGGCGCAAACACGGCGGCAGGATCGGATACCGTGCATAAAAGACCAGCTTGGGCCGAGATGAGCGTTCTCGATTGACGGTGACGTTCAAGAGCAAGCGGTCTGACGTCTTGTTGTATTTATGGCGCCTCCAATATAGGCCGGAGGGTCCTAGAGCTGAAGGACAGGTGATGGCTTAGAAGAGAGGGTGGCGTAAGTGTAAGTACAAAATGACAATAAAGTCGGTCAAGGGTCCAGTGCAAGACGACTCTTAGTCGTGGCTGATGATCCAAAGGGGGGGGGGGGGGGGGGTAGGTAACTCTGTAGTTGGTCGGTGTAAGTGAGTTAATAGTCGATAAAGATCCGATACGAACAAGCCCAAGCACCAATGTAAGGGTCTCCCGTCTCTCGTGGTGGTAACTTTCACGAACGTGGTAGGTATGGATGCCGATCAAATAGACTCAACGGATCGCTGCGTTTCGAATGATCAAGTGGATTTCTCTTCTTGTTCTGTTCTTAGCCTTGCTCTTGACATGGACTCTCGCTCGTCCTTCTCTTCGTCCCCTATGGCTGGCTGTGCTTACTCCTTCAAAGTCCGTCTCCGTACGATCAAGTCCCAGATTTTGTTGATAACTGGAAAGGCCAGTTTAAAGAGTAAGGTCCCTTCTAACACGGCTGCAAGATGAGATCAACAATCCTTGACCGGAGGCTAAGGCACCATGGTCCCCTAATTTATACTCACAGGAATAGGTTAAAAAATACTAGCCATAGCCGTCAAGTCAGATGTACAACTCTTATCGTCTCTCGCCCACCTGACATGATGTATTTCGGACCAAACCTGGAGGCCGTGGTCACTGGTCCCCATGTAGTTGTATAGAAGCTGGAATTGGACTTGGCTATAGATCCAGAAAGTTGGCGGTAATGGTGGCCACTATTTTCTGCTATGTCCGGTCTCTATCTGAGAGTTGATACAATATAGAAAAGACAGGGGAGGGTGTGGATGCGACTGTGTGTGTGGGCGCCAGGCTGAACGTGACTCGGGATTTAAGACACCAAGCCCAACCTACTGTCTGGGACTTTAAGGACTCATCGGGAATTGCTACATGCAATCGACTCCCCTCCCTCGAACCTCTTCTTCTGTGCTCGGTCATGCGCCGGATACTTTCCCATCCTTCTTCGCTCTCCCTGGCCACGCGCCCCAGCTTGAAGCCCACCATCATTGTCGCAGAATATCTCGAAGCGGCTGGTTGTTGAGAGAATCAGTGAGCGGAGTGTTTCGGGGAGACTTGACTCTTGTCGGCCTGGTGACATTCGTATACCGAGATGAGAGTCCATAGGTTTCTAGCAGTATTTTCCACTCACGTTCAATGCTGTTACATGTACGGCAGAAACTTGGTGCGGGCTCATTTGTTATGGAGGGTATGGTATCAGTCAGGCTCCTCTTACAAAATCTCGTCTTATTAGTTTCCCTACGGATCGTGTCCGGCCCTCTACGGTCCGCTCCTCAAGTGGTAAGTGGTAGCAGTAAACCTGGAGCGCTCCGTCCACCCGCTCCTCTCCCGCCTGGACCCTTTCCCCGTACGTAGATTTGTTTCAACTTCTGAGGCCATGCACTGAAAGAGAACTTGGCTGTGTTTGTGAAGCAGTGGATGTGTGATATGCGGTTGGCTCTTTTTAGCATGGGCAAAAACTATGATCAGCCTCAAGATATCTGAAACCTCCAGGTGCGTCTCAAGCTCTGTCCTGCAAGGACCCAAGCTCAGCTCAGCTCCGGCAGAGCCAGACAGAAGCTCTGAGCTCTGACTCTGAAGCCTTCCCATCCCTGGCCATATGCTTCTGTGTCATGCATGATCCCTCCCGTCCCCGCCAAAAGTGTCCGCTTGAGGCTTCCATCAATCAAAGGCGGCCCGTGCAAGGAAGATGGGGGAGCCACAGGTGGCACCAGACCCCCCAAGCTCGTTTCCACTCTCACACAGCCAATCATATAATCTCCTCCGCTGCCTAACCTCAGCAAATACTTCTGAGAGGACGGCATTACAGGAATCGATGGGATCCAATCCAAGGAAAGAATCACACGCCCAACCCCAACCCATCAACTTCCCACCTTAGTGCCGCCCTCCACTATCAACGACCAACTTCACTCCTCCCCAAACGCCCCGATAGACCACAGTCCCATTCTCTTCTTTGGCGCGCAACATACTCCGGCCGATTTTTGTTACGCATCTACCTTTGCTCTTATCGCTACCACCTTCGCCATTTTCGAGCGGTACGCGCGGTCGCCTGCAACCCCCCTTGGCCCCAACACTCCAGCCTCAGCCCCAGAGGACTCGTAGTCCTTCGTGCCTATCGAGGGTACTGTCACCTTGCGTAAAGCAACATCGTCAACGACAGGTCTTAGCTCTATAGAAGACAGATCGCGGTAGGCAGCCAGCTTTGTCCGCCTTGTTAACCAAGGCTCTGCCTCTATATCATGGGTACTCGTCGACTGACCACATCAACCCCCGATGCCAGATTTTCCAAGGAAGTGGATATTGCTGTTCCAAGTTATATTATTAGTTTTATACGAGACCGCCTTTGTTGCCATCTTCCGTTAACTCCGTCCCACCCTCCATCACACGTACGAGCTCGACCTCCAGCCCGAATCTGGATCTTGTCCTGAACCTGAACCTGCGCCGCAAGATCGACCTAGCCGTTCCGTCCCTGTCCCGCGATCGCTGAACCTGTCCCTTACGTTTCCGCCCCTCTGGTCCCCTGTTGCTATGGCCTCTTCCTCTTTCAGAGACTCTATAAACTCCCTCGGCTGGAGTCGCCGTGATGAACCAGTAAATACTTCTCAGCAGAGCGGGTTACTCTCCTCACTTCAGAGTTTGAATCCCTTCCAAGGAGGCAGCGGTTATGTCCGTCTACCTACCACCGAGAGCTCCGGTGCACCTCTCCCTGCGCCCACTCGACGTGAAGAAGAGGAAGGCTGGTTTGTTCGTGAGTCAGCCCTGGATGTTCTTTACCTATCGTCGCCCAGCACCCCTGCAGCGGGACATGTGCATTGCATCTGAGCCATGCCTTGAACTATGCATGTGATGCGGATGACATGCCTCGTGGTTAAAAGACACTAACCCAACTGGCAGTTAGCCGATGGGATCGCTTGTTGATCTTTGGTGCTTGTAACCTCGCTGCTGTGGCATGTTTCGTCATCTGCTTCACTCTATTTCCCGTACTCTCTCTGAGACCACGCAAGTTTGTCATATTGTAAGTCGGAAATCCATGCACAGCCCTTTCAGTCTGCCCTCTTCATCCTATATCACTTGTCAATCAATGTCACGCGGGCTCACTACCGTGAGACCGCCTTGATTGTGACTAGTTTTCCCCATGATATGATGTCGTAGATTCGACATGGTGAATTTCAAAATCCCATTTGGAAACTAATGTGGGGCTATGCAGATGGTCGGTTGGATCACTAATGTTCCTGGCCTCCTTCGCTGCGGTAATGGGCCCCATGAACTACGTTTATCACCTTCTTTCGACTCCTCGACTGCCGTTTACTGCGGCTTATTTCGGCTCTATCACGCTAACCCTAGTGTTTGCCTTAAAGGTGAGGTCCAGCTTGCGATGGGCTGAATATTTTACTAACATACCGAAAGCTTCACAGCACAATTCTTACCTTATTCTCCGCTCTCGTTCAGCTTGCCTGTCTGCTCTGGTATTTGATTAGTTATTTCCCTATGGGATCTACTGGACTGCGCTTTGCCACATCGTTTGGTGCAAGGCAAGCAACAGCATGGATGACTGGCTAGAAAATACCGTTGACTACATGCAATACGGGACTCTTGTACTCAATACGTTTCACGATCTTCCCAGGCTCCAAGTTTTCAAGTCCTCCTGTACAACAACTGTCTGTCTTGTGTAATATTAGCAGCAAATTGACCATAACGCCATGGATTCAGGCAACAGTGGGATGGTTTTACGAGAAGAGCTGTCGATTTAGGATAAAAGCAATTACATATGTATAAATTGTCATTATACATACTTGTAATCAAGTCCGAGTCTTGTTACGGTATACATTCAGTCAAAGTACTACGGTCATCATTTGGCGTAGTAGGCCCCTTCGTGTCCTCACACGGTCTTAATCTCTATTTTCCCATGTAATCAAGTCCCAGACTACCAACCTGAGCATTTCACACCCATAAGGTAAGGCAGTTTCCATGTGGTGATTGATGATTAGGTAATCGTTGCCCAAAAGGGCAAGTTATCAGGTGCCGTATCCAATGAGCAAACCCATATACATGTGTGGCATTAGTTTGTAATGAAATCTGGGAAGTTTTTGCAGCCACTTGGATGTTTGAAGGAAACCTCAGAGTTGGAAAAGTACTAGGTACTTAGGTACGTAAGTACCTAATCATAGGTAGCTGAATGGTTGTTTAGAATATAACTGTGTTGGATCTCAAGAAAAGTTCTTCTTAATCAACAGGAAATCAACCTTAATCAGGTAATCAGCTTTCTAAATGCAATGACGTATGCTTTAATAAGCTTTTACGTTTAAAAGTAAAATTATAACGGGGGGGAAATTCACCAGACTACCTTAGTAGGCTAGCTAGGTAAAGTGTGTATAAGTTGAAAAGACAATCGACGCACGAACTACCTATTTACAATTCGTATCTCTCGGATTAGTATTGAACTGCCTACTGATTTTTCGAAACTGTTGAGATTCATGACCACTAGATGCCTTGCTGCCCTTTGTCTAGACATCTGCATATGTGGTCTTTCGAGACGTATGCAGATTCTCATATAGTTACTCTGCAAGTTCACAACCTGCTGATTTGCTTCTTGGCGTGCTCGTGGATCGAACGTGACCTGATGTGTAGCCAGAAGTTGCGTAATTTCTAGCCCGTTACCGTAGACTCAGCGTCTTGATTTACAACTTTGTATATTTTTATCTAAAACAAAGTCTGGCTTCTTCTTACACGAGCCCCGGGGGATTCAATAAATGTCATACACTCGACCCGATCAACTGTCCTTTGTAAAGAAACCCCCCCCCCCCCCCAAACGACTCCTACTAGCTCCGAGAGTGTATGTATGTAATAACTGACCTCCAGATTACCCACGCAGATCAGGCTTTCCCGGACAAAGAGACGTGCAGAGACATGGATATGTCTGGTGTGCTTGTGGTAATTGCAAAGTTCTACTCATGAAACCATAGCACGGCCAGCTCACTGTGTACGCAGCTGGTACAAGATAACAAAAACACGCTCGACAGAGCAAACATCGTAAAGCGAAAGGTAAATGATCTCATGGGTACAGTAAAACAAAGGTACTTCAGAAAAGCCGATTTATATTCGCGCAACTCCACCTATCATGGTCATCCGGCTCCGGCTGAAGAGGTAGCATCTATCATGCCCTTGTTTGCAGGCCTCTTCGGGGTCTCGGGTGCTATAACGTCCATCCATGGATGACGGCGGCTTCTGGCAGTGAGGTGCACCCAGAGTGGAGCGCAAACGAGAAAAAGAAGCCTTGCCCTGCATCCCACTGAAAGATGAACCCGAGGCAGCAGCTTGGTATCCAATGGTGTTCAGTGCCGTCGGCTGCAGGGCTCTCATCAATAAGGCTCGAGTCAGCGATACAGTGGCCCTCAAGGTATTGTTACTCGGTGGATGGGCAGAACTCCATCGCTGACTTGGGGTAGGTACTTAAACAATGCATTCACTGATTATAGTTAGGCACATCAGTGATGTAAGTCCTACTATGCGTCTCCATCAGTCAATGACAAACATGCGAGTCATGGAAGAAGAATACGATTGGATGTTACAGCGCCGTATTCGATGTTTGACAATCAAACTGTTATTAGTGTAGAGGACATGCAGTATCGTAGAAATAAATGAGCCAAAATCAAACAAGAGAGGAAAAATGACAACGAACATAAGTGTCGCTCTATAGGTTCATGGGCGTCTCGCATGGGAAGAAAAAATAATTTAAATCCCTAGAGCGGAAAAGAATGTCCCTCCATCCTTCCAACCCGACCCGTTCCCAAGTCTAGGTATCTCCCAAGGTCCAAGGATTCCCGCTCGGCGCAGCGGTACCTTCTAAATCACTTAGTCGCGGTATATTTCTGTGGTACCGCTCGCCTGCGGATCAGAGAGAGGGGAAGAAGTGCAGGAAAAAAATTTATTATTCACACAACGCAAAAAATAACCTCCGGCCTTCTTTTTCTCATTCCCTGGTATCCGTGTGCCCTCTTTCTGTAAACCACAACTTCTCGCCTACTCAATTTACCTAGAAAAGAGTTGCCGTTGAAGATCAGTTTGTATTGGTTTACGAATACTACGTCTCTTTACCTCATCCTTCCCCCCCTCCTCCCTCGTCCTTCGTCCCCTACCTATCCTCTAGAATCATTTCTACACCCATCAATCATAACCAAAACCACCCCGCCGCCTGGCCTTCTGCGTTTTCTCTCGATACCCTCGCGACGAAGCAACGTAACAAGCGAATACACCGGCCTCGGATCTGATTTGTTTCTGGTATCTGACTCTAGGCTACGAGTTCATTCAATCGACACGTCGTTCTTGTCCGACACGCTCTTGTTTCCTATTTACGAGAGCAGGCAAAGCAGGACAGTAGCATAAACATTTTTGGGTTTACTGCCTCAAAATTACCTACTGTTCGCACCAATCTTACTTTTTCCCCCCTCTGTTGCCTCCCTTCGTCGAAACTTAGTCGCTAGGCTACCATTTTTCGATTCAATAAACGCCTCTGCGACATCGTAAAATCCTTCCCTCTTTCCATCAGAAACATCTGCCACAGCTTTCGCCCACAATCCAACCGATTGACTGGTCATCCTTTTTGGCCTGAAGACCTCGGCTCAACGGACAACTGACTCGGTTTTACACCCTCGTACTCGATACGCATCCCCAAATTTCGACTCGTTGTCCAAGAATCTCATATCCCTGCGCCCTCATTATTTAGAGGTCCACAGATAGTCACTGTATCGCACATAGGTGCTTTGCCTCTCTCCTTGCGTAGAAGGGGTTGAGAGACATCCTGGGGTTTTCGGTCCCTGAGCAATACGTTGATTTTTTCTTCTATTGCGACCAAGGTGATTTTGGCACCTTCAGCTCGGAACTTTCCTACCAGTTTAAGACGGCAAGCCTGTCCTACGAGGCTCAACCTGAAATGAGTCCATCCGCCATCGTTGAGTCCAACGAAATGGCCACTCAGTCGACATTTTCCTACGCACAAGCTGCAAAGGGTCAGGGCACTGCCCCTGCTTCGAATCCTACAGCTGTCGCCGATACTGCTGCTCCACCCCAGGACACGCAGGCATCCATTGCCGATGATGATGTTCCGGCTCCCGCAACCGACGTGAAGTCGATTGCTGCTACTGAGCACGCCGGCTCTGAAGCTCCTGAGACCACGGAGCATCGCGCTGCCTTCTCTGACAAGCAAGGCCTCGAGAGTATACCTGGATCCGAGAGCGATGCCCGCTCCGAGTCGACACAAAGCAGACGAACAGACTCGAGACGCGAAGATGATTCTGGAAGGCTAGAGCGCCCGTGGCGACGAAATGAGAAGACACCAGGTTCATCAAACACTACTGCCCGGTCTGTAGACGAGCAGGACTCCCGAAAGGCTAGGCGAAATAAGAAGGGCAAGACTTCTGAGAAGCAACCCAGTAATCAGACGACAGAAAAGGAGCAGGAGGCGGTCACTGAGGCCCCCAAGGTCGAGCTCTCAGAAGCACCTATCCCCAGCGTCAACATCTGGCATAAGCGAAAGGAGGCCCAGCAGGCCAAGTCTGTCAAACCTGCTCCCACACCTGCGGAAGCTACAGTGAATGGCACTTCATCTCGGGATGAGAAGAAGACTGAGGAATCTGCTACAACACCATATACAAATGGCATCAAGACTCAGCAAAAGCCGGCCGGCACTGCGCGGCCGGAACGCAATGGCCCCCGGGGGTCACGGATACATGAGAAGGATGGTAAGAATGAGGCTCCCCCATCCGTCGAGGATTCTACAGCATGGCCAACTCCTGAAACTGCAATCACGGCTATTAAGGAGGATAGCAAGAAGAAGAGCGCAGACAAGACACCCGAGAAATCAGACCGCTCTGATAAGGACAGTCAAGAAGATGGCAGCGCGTCAAAGCCCCGACAGAAATGGGTGGCTATGGACTATGTCCCCACAGTCAGCTTCGAAACCCAGCTTCCTCAAATGCGTAGCTCTAAGCCACGGGGTGGCGCTCGTAGTAATCGAGATGCCGCTCCTCGAAGCATGGCCAACGGTGTAGCGGATAAAACCGCTTCTACCGCGCCCGCCAACAAGACCAACGACACCAAGCCTAAAGACAACACCAACAATGCCGCATCACAAATGGCAGCCGTCAAACGCGGAGCAGTGGATGGTGTTAACGGTCAGAAGAAGGCCCCTGCCAGCACTGGCTCCGAGAAGGCCAAAGATACGACGGCCCAGTCTTCGGTGAGTAATACGATGATGCCCCTGTGGAGCACAGCTATCTTGAGATTGCGCAAGTGTTTCTATTGTATGAGACTTATACTGATTGCTTTTGGAATAGGAGATTTCCCAAAGTCGAGATAGGCATGATGGCCGCAGTGAGAGAGGTCGAGGCAATTACCGAGGACGAGGTGCTCATCACGGCCATTCACAGTCTCAGCATGCTATTTCTGCATCCGGATTCCATGGCCAAGGCGCCAACGCTGCCAGATCCCAGGGTTATAGCCCCCCATTGCGACAGGGTGGTCATGGTGGCATGTTTACGCCTCCTTCTCAGCGAGGCCGTGGT